TCATGGAGAGCACCTCAACAACTTCCCCCGTTGAAAAGAAGTCGTGAGTTCTACCAAAATAGTTGTTTAATTACTGTAAAATAGCCCCAACCTGTTAAGGGGTCACTATAAATTATACGCCCCATTAACACTTGGGGGCATCACATTTTTACCTGAGCATGACTCTCCTCTCTTTCTTAAAACTTGTACTTTCTACTCTATACACCCTTCAGCTAATAAAGTACCATGCGACCAAGGCCATTCAAAAGTGAACATAGATCACGATTGACCGAACCACTATAATTAACCCAATATCTTTTTTGACAGAAGGCTTTAGAACCCTACTTAAAAATTGTAGTCTTAGGCCTCGAATATTACTAGGTCAGCATAAACTCACACATCTTGAGTTTTATTCCCCTCTCAACGTAAAACCCAAGTTTAACAAATGTGGGTAGTTAGCTAGTAATTGAACACATTCAAGATTGGAGTTATTAAAAAAAAAAAATATCATGGTTAGGGACGACTGCGACTATATTACCAAAATAATAGAAAACAAAAACTGAAGTAGTGAAGTAGATCGAAATCTCACCACTGCACTGAGACATGTCTGCTTCTTCCTTTCTTCCTCCTTCCTTCTTATTATTTGAATTGTGATATGTATGTGTGAGGAGATGAGTATATATAGCCAAGGGAAAAAGAGATGGTCAAAAAAGCTGAATTGAATAAATTGAATTGGATTTAGCCAGCCAGAAGCCATGAAATGTTCCGTAGGAACATGAAAATTGACAGGGAACACAAGACATAGTTAATGAGACAAACCTACATATAGGAAACACATGACAATTGACAGGGAACACAAGACATAGTTAATGAGACAAACCTACATATAGGAAACACATGACCTTTTTGCTGGGGGCCAGTTCCTCCAACAGCTGCATTGCAATTCTCCTAATATTTGATGCTTCAGTGCTTTCTTTGAATATTTCTTTCCAAAATTCGATGCTTATAACCAATTAAGACAATTTGTTTTAAGGTTCAATGCATAATGCAGACATGTGTGAACATGTATCTTTTAACACCTAAAATTAACGGGCATTAATTAAAACTAATTACATAGTTTATGAAATAAATTGGAACAAATTCAAATTTAGGAAACATTTTAAAACAATTGAAAAGGACCATCCGATGATTTGAATAGGCTAAGAACATCTCCGACCGGTATGCCAAATGTCAGATGGAGGCTCCAACGTAATGACTCTTTTTTGGCACGCAAGACTTCTCCAACTCGCATGTAAATTACTAACCGGGCAAAAACAAATTTGACATATCTCAATAGGTATGTCAAATCTTTTTAATACAATATTTTATGGAGTCGATGGTGTTTAATACAATTTATTTTACATTGTAACATATAATTTTGTTAAAATTTATGTTTTGGCATTGTACTTTTAATTATCGTTTAAATTTGTATTAACTAAGTTTAATGAAAATTTTAGTTAATATAATATTTTAAAATATATAATTTTAATTGATCCCAAAATTTATTTTTAAATACATATATTAAATTAATGTAAGGAAAGAAATTTAAAGATAAAGATTGGATAAAATAAATTAATTTGACATATCGATTAGAGTGTAAAGTGAATATGTCAAATTGCCACGTAAATCTTCAAATTTAAATTTGACATATAACATTTGATATCTCCATATCCGTCCATCCATTTCCATTAAAAAGAAGATAATTACTAGTTGATAAGAATGAACCACTTGGACAAACAATTTAGCAAGTTTTATTAAGGTTTTACTAATTCAGAGCTTTATAATTAGAACCATACAAAGCTAAAAAGACAAGGTGAGTATTGTGTCGACTGTCTTTCATCGTATTCTCTTATCAGTACTAGGTTTTCCCATATGAACAAAATACATTCAAAGACAGTTTAATCTTAACTGTAAATCATGATGAATTTGACGACCTTTTGATTGACACTTGTAATTAGGGTGTGATGGGTACTTTAAATTATTGATTGTGAAAACCCTTTTAAGAAGATATGTACGAGTTTTGATGTTTAGAGTTCATGGTAACATGTGCACAAGTCCTCCCGCCTATAATAAATTTCAGAATAAGAAAAAAATAAACATTTTAACTGTAATTTTAAAAGTATATGACTCTTAAATAGCTATTGACGAATGTGCACACATTTAACCCTAATATGATCGTAACATGTGCACATGTTGACGAATGAGCATTTGTCAGTGCTTCAAGTTCGAATAGCTATTGCTTAAAGCTTGTAGACCGACAAAGTTGAACAAATATCCTTGTTGCACAAAATTTAACATAAATTTCTCAACATGTATAATACAAACATGACAGTGTTTAAGTGTTATACATCACTTATAAAATATCGTACATTTTTAATAAATGATTGTCACCTATCACTTTTTTAGAATTTTTTTTCGAATAAGACACCTTGTGTATCTCACTAGCTAGTATTGTGGTTGTTTCTCGTCGGGGTGCACACCATATAAGTTATGCAGTGGTGTGCATAACTCATTGACAATTTTCCACAAATTAAANATCGAGGGGGTGCACACCATATAAGTTATACAGTGGTGTGCATAACTCATTGACAATTTTCCACAAATTAAAACTTTTTGAGCAAAATAGTAAATTTCTCATCTTCGTCGGAGGGAAATTTTCTCTCCAATATGTTTCTTTCTATTTTTCTCCTTGTAAAATCACCTACTAAGAATTTAAGTGAATTTAACTACATTATACATGAGTGAGTAAAAGTAAAGAAAAAATATATATTAGTGTGAATCTAAATCCATATTCACTAAGCTCAAAAATTCAATGACCACTGAAGTGGAGCAGAGTGACGCCCACTGCCCGTCAAAGAATAGGTAGTATTTTTTGTTAGAGTTGGAATGTTGGATCATACATAAACCCATGGTACGGTACAAGTATATTGGGTACATGAGTTTTACGAAAATTAAGTTTATGTGATTTGTTAGAATTATGATTTTAACTAATGCCTATAAGTTTGCGACAAAGTCCGTAAATTTTTATGTTTGTTGTCTTTTTTCTTATCTAATTATTAGTTATTACTCGAGTCTGAAGATACAGAGTAATAAAAAAATTGTGAACAATAAATATATTTATATTCACACTTAAAATCAAATCACAAACATAGAAGAGAGACAAAAAAATTTAAGCACTAATTGTAATGGGGTGAGCAGTGGCAGTGGTGGTGAGTGGCAATGGTGGTAATGGGAGACAGTGATGGTTGTGGTGGGTGGCGACGACCGTGGTGATAGTGGTAGTCATGGGTGGTAACGATAACAGTTGTGGTAGATTTTGGGTGAAGATGGTGGTAGTGACACTCATGGGTGACGATGGTGGTGGTTGTGGGTTGGGTGGCGGTGGGTTGACGACGGTTGCGATGGTGGGTTATGGTGGTGGACGACAACGAATGCTTTTAGACGACAGTGCAATAGGTGGTGGTGGTGGTAGGTGTGATAAGGGTGGGTGACAATAAGTGGCGATAATGGTGGGCGATAACAAGTGATGGTGGGAGGTGTGGTGAGGGTGTGTGACAGTGACTAACAGCGATGGTGGGCGATGACAGATGGTGGTGGATTGTGGTAGTGGGTGGCGATAGGTGGTGGTGGGCAACAATAATGGTGGTAGACTCTGACAATGGGTGCAATGGTAATTGAATGGTGGTGTTAGTGGTAATAAATATAAGAATGAGATAACGATGATGGTGGCGGTGGACTGCGATGGTAATAATTGGTGGTGGTGGTAGTAACGATTATAGTGGTGGTGGGGCGATGGAAGTGGTGATAGTGGTGGGGCATTGGGTATGATGGGGTGGCGGTAGTAGTGGTGGCGGTAGCGGCGACAGTAGTTATGGTTGTCGTGATAAGGAAGGTGGTGGGGTGGCGATGGCGGTGGTAGTAGTGATGGTGGCTGGTGTGGTACTGGGGCGGTGGGGTGGTGGTGGCAGTGGGGCAATGAGGGGGGGTGGTTGTAGGGCTATTCCAAACACTACTTTTTTTTTTGGTGAGGCAATAGAAGTAGTGGTTATGGTGGTGGGGCGGTAGTAGTGGTGATGGGGCGATGAGTGTAGTGATGGTGATGGGGCGTTGGGTGTGATGATGGTAGTGGTGGTGAGGGTGGCGGCAATGGTGATAGCGATGGCAGTAGTGGTGGTTGTTGTGGTAGGTGTAGTAGTGGGGTGGCGGCGGTGGTGGTAATGGTGATGGTGGCAGGGTTGGTGGTGGTGGTGGTAGTGGTGATAGCAGTGGGGGGTGGTTGTGGGGTTGTTCCAAACACTATTTAAAAAAAAAAAAAACACTTATGAGAAGTTATAAGTTGTAAAAACACTTTTAAAAAATCACTTCAAATACATCTTTAAAGACCTATTTTCCTTATTAAATTTATGGTGTTAATATTAACAATCGGATTAACATTAAAGTAAAATTTAAAGAAATCTTAACTGCGAAAAATAAAAATAATTTTATTTATCTTTTAAAATTTGAATTGTATTATATTTTATTATATAGATTTATCGCACCATACTTTCACAAGAACAGATCTATATGCTCTGATTGGAACTTGAAGTTTTAAAACATGCAAGATCTCATGTTTGAAGAGAATAGGAGTGAAGAGCGGAGAAGTAAAAGGCAATTGAAAACCATCCACCCACACACACGCGCGCTCAGAAAGTAACTAAGGAATGAATTGAAATACAACACATTTTTTGTTTTTTTTTTCAAAATATGCAAACAAAANATGTTTGAAGAGAATAGGAGTGAAGAGCGGAGAAGTGAAAGGCAATTGAAAACCATCCACCGATACACACGCGCGCGCTCAGAAAGTAACTAAGGAATGAATTGAAATACAACACATTTTTTGTTTTTTTTTTCAAAATATGCAAACAAAAGACACCTTGCTGTTATTAAATCTCTTTAATCAGTGAGAAAGTGCATACATACATTTGTTACATCAGATTATCACCATGAAAGTGTTTAAATGAAATACAACATTGCTCCTGCAATTTCAGCCTGACAACCTTTGTTTGATTCCTAACCAATTTTAGGCGCCAGAAACACATTTCCTTTCTCATCAACCCGAACTCGGACCCTGTTGCAGCGGAAATCCGTGGTCACTGCCGTTGTTTTTTCGATGATCATGACTTCGAGTTCCGGGTTCTCTCGATAATTGCTACTGCTGCATCTCCATGGATACCAACCAGCTCAGACCACGAGTTCTCAGCGGTACCTGCCATGATTAAACGCAAGTTAGTAAATTGAGTTTTTTGGATTTAACCGCGTTTTAAAGTCCTAGTTTAAAGTGAAAAAGATCGTATAATGCAGGATTGAAGTGTTAGAAACATGATATGGGCATTAAATTCTCACCGCATCTAGCCATCGCGCCTCAGATTGTTTGTCAAATGAGATCGGATTTTATAGGCACACCATGCTCAAAAACATGTACAATGGGATGGATTATTTGTTTGGACATTATGAAGAAATGTTTGGAGTGCATNGAATGAGATCGGATTTTATAGGCACACCATGCAAAAAAAAATGTACAATGGGATGGATTATTTGTTTGGACATTATGAAGAAATGTTTGGAGTGCATCAATTTTAATGCTGGCCCTGGCCTAGCCAGCCAGGAAGCATGAGAGACAGCAGGTTTATGTTGAAATGAAAAAGACCTTGAATGTACCATGTCAAAGTTACTGTTGAAAAACAAGACAAATTGATTAATTTATGTCATTCAATTTCCTTTTATCTTATGTTTGCAGGTGTAATAGATTCCTGAACATGACACAAAAATAAGTCAGGAATCCGACTAAGGGTATATTTCCTAAACAGGCCAACATGTAAATCATTGATGCAGAAATCAAGGCGCAAAGGACAGCTAACAAGTAATAGTAGATGCAAAAATGGGTCGAATTCGGAATAACTGGACCAACAATCAAGATTTGTCATTCAATTTTGCGTTAAATTTCATTATTTAGTCTCTTAAGTTTCCGCTTTTATCGCCCTAAGGAAGAATTCAGAAATTAATAATAAATCCTATAAGATTCTGAATTATTTGCCTTAAGTTTTGTTAAACTTTAGACAACACTTGCTTTTATATTAATTAATTAGATTAAAATTTTCTATTTTTGATAAATTTAGTATAATTTGGTATGTCGTAATAAAAATTCATTCTCTTACCATTGTCAAATTTGTCATTTTTGAATATTTGGTGGTATTTTCTACTCTCAACTATCATCACTCGTCGCCATCATCACCACCACCACCCCATCTCCACTCGGAGTTGTGTCCAGGTCCAGAGTCAAGGCGGGCATGGGGTTTGGGTCAGGATTCGAGATTTGGGTCTAGGTTCGAGTCCAGAGCTAGGATCGAGTCCAAGTCTAGGTTTGGGTCATGGGTCCGAGATTAGGTCCGAATTCTGGGAGGTTGAGTCTAGGGATTAACCAAATATTTGATTGGATTTTAAATTCTAGTCATGCACTTAATCCTAATTGTTATCAAACATTCGAANGTCGAGTCCAAGTCTAGGTTTGGGTCATGGGTCCGAGATTAGGTCCGAATTCTGGGAGGTTGAGTCGAGTCCAGATTGGATTTTAAATTCTAGTCATGCACTTAATCCTAATTGTTATCAAACATTCGAATACTAATAAATATTTTATTTCATTCTCACTTGTATTTCATTCTCATATAAAAGCATTATAACGGACTAAACGCAATGTTCGGGTTTTAACCGTTCTTATATATATTTCCTCAAGTTATTACAAGTTCTTCATTGAATAATCTCATGCTTTCGTCGGAACACACCTGACCTTCGTCGGAACACACCTGACCGCAATACCCAAAAAAAAAAAAAAAAGAACAAACAAAGAGCCTGCTTTTCAGAACATGTTCTCCAAATGCTATAACATCAATTGCTGCAGAAAAAAGTGAACACAAGAAGAGAAAAGATATAGCAATTATTGTGCTTTTGGAATTGCAACTGCTTTAAGATGATCATAGAAAACCTACAAACCACAGAACACAACAGGAAAACAGAACAGCAAGTCGCAAGTCAGATGTGNCAGAGAAAAGATATAGCAATTGTGCTTTTGGAATTGCAACTGCTTTAAGATGATCATAGAAAGCCTACAAACCACAGAACACAACAGGAAAACAGAACAGCAAGTCGCAAGTCAGATGTGTTTCAAGTACTGAGCTTGACCTCATTCTAATTCTCTAGACTTTTTTTCCCTAATGAAATTTGGTAGTTTCTGTGCTAAATTATCTCATATGATTGCCCTCTTATAACATGATTCTTAGTATTTATATTTTTTGTCTCGTGCTCGTTAGGAAAAACACAAAAAAAAAAATTAGAAAAAAAAAATTATGCACAAAAGACTGAAATTGCAGAACAAACAGCAATGAGGTAGCAACAACTTCAGACATCCATTCTTCATCTGAACTAAGGAGTACACTTCATGGACTTACAAGGTAGGAATAATTTTGATCATAGTAAATGGGACTAGGAACACTTAGTTTTAAACCACCAAAACAAGTAAGCTTACAAAGCTATCCACAAGTACACACCTTGTTCACCACTCGGGCCTTCGAAATGAAGGAAAAGTAGACATTTCCTTATCACTCACCTGGTTCAAAAATAGGTTCAGTTGTGTCTGCATGCATTTGAACTAGATTCAATTCAATTTTCCAAAAAAAAAAATNAAATTTTGTCAATTTAGTCTCTAAAGTGTTTAATTCGTGTCATTTTGATCTCTACATAGTTGAATTGTTAAATTTTTGACGAAATAATCATATGTTAGGCAAGTGATACCGTCTAAGAAAATGATTAGTGGTCACTTTTGTTAAAAACTTGACAAAATGTTTAATTATGAACCAAGTGACACGAATTGAATACTTTAGGAACCAAATTAACAAAATTAATTAAATGAGTACTATACTGACAAAAAATAAATTTTTTAAAAACCAAAAGCCGTATTAATCCAAAAAATTAAATTATCGTTAAGCTAATTTTAAATTTCGGTAAATTGATACAGTGGAGTCTGAAATTTCAATTTTGGGTGGGCCCTTTGACTACAAATTTTATTTTTTCTCTCTAAGTGAGAAAAAAAATTATAAATTTATGTATATCTACTTTAAGTATATACTTTATATACAAAAAGACTAAAATTTGATATACCTAGTCTATATAAAAGATTAATGAAATTTGTTACTAAAAAAAATTTCAAATTATTAATTATAGTCATTTACAATTGAGATCAATTAATTTTCATATTTTCAAAACATTCTATGTTTAGCATCAAGACAGACTCAGGNAAAAATAGAGATTAATGAAATTTGTTACTAAAAAAAATTTCAAATTATTAATTATAGTCATTTACAATTGAGATCAATTAATTTTCATATTTTCAAAACATTCTATGTTTAGCATCAAGACAGACTCAGGACCCCTAGCCCAATGGTGGCTATGCCATGATAAAGAGAATCTCCCGTTGAACCAACCCTCCTAAAGTGAACTTAGCAATGTATAAAAAATGCATCTTACAAAATTTCGGAAAAATAAATAAAAATGAAAGGAATGGAGATTGGTAATGTTATGATTATTCGCAAAAGTTTTTCAAAAANTGCCACAACGTCTGAATTTATACGATTTCGCAGAGTTCTTATGGATTCGGGTTTGTGTGTGGATTTGCTTTCTTCATTGGCCTCTTGGAGACGACCCAGAATGTCTCTGATTGAATTCATTTCTTTTTTCACCATCTCTGCCTCTTCCAGGAATGCACTGAGGTTATGGGCCATCTGGGTATGTCCCATCTCTATATTGGGGTCTGGACCGGCTTCGAGATCTTTCATGGCTTCTTTCTTCAGATCCACATAGCTTGTGAAAGATTTTGTCATGAGATCATTCATCTTGGCTGATTTTAAGAGAGAGAGAGAGAGAAATGAAACGGAAATCTGAAATGGGAAATGAATTGGTGAGAGCTAGCAACAATTGGAGTGAAGTGCAATTGATTTGGGAGGAGTTAACGGACACTTTTAAAAGTATCTAATTTTGAGATAGGCCAGGAGAGTAGCCGTTGCAGTTTCCCAACGGCTATATTTTTAATAAAATAATGTTTTCTGGATATTTGAAAATTTGAGACCTATTAAGTGAGTAAATGTTTAAACTAGAGAGTGAGAGAGAGTAAACAAAGATTGACTGGCCTTAATTCCGATGGGAAATGCCTACTTCAAAGAAAAGAAAAAAAAAGGCTGAACAGTATTTTTGCTCTTTAAAGTATGTATTTTTGGTCAGTTTAATATTTATTGTATAAATTTTGTCAATTTAGTCTCTAAAGTGTTTAATTCGTGTCATTTTGATCTCTACATAGTTGAATTGTTAAATTTTTGACGAAATAATCATATGTTAGGCAAGTGATACCGTCTAAGAAAATGATTAGTGGTCACTTTTGTTAAAAACTTGACAAAATGTTTAATTATGAACCAAGTGACACGAATTGAATACTTTAGGAACCAAATTAACAAAATTAATTAAATGAGTACTATACTGACAAAAAATAAATTTTTTAAAAACCAAAAGCCGTATTAATCCAAAAAATTAAATTATCGTTAAGCTAATTTTAAATTTCGGTAAATTGATACAGTGGAGTCTGAAATTTCAATTTTGGGTGGGCCCTTTGACTACAAATTTTATTTTTTCTCTCTAAGTGAGAAAAAAAATTATAAATTTATGTATATCTACTTTAAGTATATACTTTATATACAAAAAGACTAAAATTTGATATACCTAGTCTATATAAAAAAAAATAGAGATTAATGAAATTTGTTACTAAAAAAAATTTCAAATTATTAATTATAGTCATTTACAATTGAGATCAATTAATTTTCATATTTTCAAAACATTCTATGTTTAGCATCAAGACAGACTCAGGACCCCTAGCCCAATGGTGGCTATGCCATGATAAAGAGAATCTCCCATTGAACCAACCCTCCTAAAGTGAACTTAGCATTGTATAAAAAATGCATCTTACAAAATTTCGGAAAAATAAATAAAAATGAAAGGAATGGAGATTGGTAATGTTATGATTATTCGCAAAAGTTTTTCAAAAATAACAAAAAATCGTGCATTATCCAAAATTTGGAGCTCCATAGGTCATTTTGACGTTGATTTGGTTCAAAAGATGAAGCAATGCGACTGATATAGAGTAAAGAGGCAAAAAACTCGTTTTTTTATTGAACAAAAAGCAGTTGCGAGAGAGAGCCTGGCGTGAAAACCCGCATTGTCGNACGACTGAAATAGAGTAAAGAGGCAAAAAACTCGTTTTTTTATTGAACAAAAAACAGTTGCGAGAGAGTGCCTGGCGTGAAAACCCGCATTGTCGTGACCATAAAAGCTCGAGACCTAGACCGTGAGCTCTGCAAGCGCTCCCTAATGACAACTACCAAACCGCTAAAAAGAAANGCGACTGATATAGAGTAAAGAGGCAAAAAACTCGTTTTTTTATTGAACAAAAAGCAGTTGCGAGAGAGAGCCTGGCGTGAAAACCCGCATTGTCGTGACCATAAAAGCTCGAGACCTAGACCGTGAGCTCTGCAAGCGCTCCCTAATGACAACTACCAAACCGCTAAAAAGAAATCAGCAGTCAAACTTGGGTGATCATTATTAGAACGATTCTTACATAACGCTATCTTGTCACTAAACCAGCAAGCTTGGTGATAAGTGACAGAAACTGCCTTCAGTACAGTAACATTCTAACAACAGCCTTGAACGATCACTACTACAACGTATTCTAGGAGGGAAATTGCANGATTCTTACATAACGCTATCTTGTCACTAAACCAGCAAGCTTGGTGATAAGTGACAGAAATTGCCTTCATTACAGTAACCTTCTAACAACAGCCTTGAACGATCACTACTACAACGTATTCTAGGAGGGAAATTGCAATCACGAATCGAGAACTCAAAACTGTTAATTACTAAAACAAGGCCGCTACAAATACAACTAGTAGTCAGACATTTCGACTCATATTTGAGTAATAATAAGGTACAATTCTGAATCTAAGTAAACAAATCCCTCCGAGATGGAAACACATGGCCCGAACCAGCTAGCCAACAAGATGCAAAGTTTATCCTCAGCATTGTTGTAGCCATTTCTTTTCCGTCATCACAAGAAACGGGTATCATCGCAAAGGGGATGCTGATGACTAGTCCTTGACAAGCATAACGGCAGAAGTGAACGGAATGGATCACAAAGCAATACAGACAGAAGTTCCAAAGTCAGATAATTACTCAGAGTTGTTTCGTCCAGTCAAAAGGCTCCCAATCTTGAGCAAAGCTTGCAACTGCTTGTTTTTGCGCCTCCACTGATTCATGCTTACGGCGACGATGCATGTCTTCGGCTGGTAAACGTAGCATGCCCCTGATAACATTGAGACCCAAGTGGCTTTTGAATTGCGATTCATCATCAATTACGTGAACAAAGCCCTTATTAAGCCCGAATTCAACATGAAAGTAAGGGAAATCCTTTGGAATTGAACTCCTCAACCCCTTCTCACTCGTATCGATAAGCTTCTTCGCATTGTGCTGGCTCCACTCATCTTCAGCTTCGTCAATTGCCTGCAGGAAACATACTTTAAAATATGGTATAGAGCGACAACTTGAACCACAAATAAACGGCATACATTCATTGAGAAATTCAGGCATGCTTAGTAAGAATATCTACCAGATACTTGGGATAAACTCATGCCTATAGTAAAAAAGTGGCAAATATATATGTATATGGGTCACGAGTGTTCATAAGTTTAAAATAAACAACAGTGTCATATGAATAGAAAATGTCTTTAAAAATCCTTAATTATCAATTGCCAAGTATCCATGAAAACAAAAAGACTCAAAAATTCTCAGTTCCAATAGAAGTTCTAACTCAGGTAGGTAGCTGTATAGAAAATAGAATTTGCGCCAAAGCAACCAGCATCTGTTAGTTTATGTACTCTGATCAGCATCCACAGGTAATTCACTTGGTATCAACAAAGGAGTTATAACGAGAAAATGAACAACACCATGTGGCTAAGAACTGATTTTAGGTATTCCTAGTTTTTCCAAATAATTTGGTTGACACAAAATAATTTGCTTTTGCATGCTGCAGCATGAATGAGAATGCCCAAGAACTGTCTGGGTTGAGCAGGAATCCTCCCTCATTTGGCTACCCAATCCCCTTAATTCTCAGTGCAAAGTTGTGCTCCCCACTTCAGTCGTTTCCCACTTAAGTTTTTCTTTTACTAAGGAAGAAAAGTTCTCAGACGTGCTGAAGTACTAAAAACATCTGTTAAAAGTTCCTAGATCACTATAACGGATGCTACAAAAGAGGAACGCAGCTACTATTTCAGAATTTTTTTCCTCGCATCAACGTCCTCAGCTTCTTTTTTCCTTTAAACCAGAAATTCAATGTTTCTCCTTTTGAGCTTGATGAAATCTGGTTTTCAAATAAGAATTCACACTTCAATATACAATGGCTTTCCAATAAGGGTAACAATTATGCGGATATAATATAGGACAATGTTCGGTTATCACAAGAATTTGGAAGTCATCAGCAACGATCAAGTATCTTACATGATTATAAGGACTCAACTTGATCATGAAAGAAATTATGAAAGATTATTCATCTCATTTTCTATTCTAGTATCATGCTGATCGTATTCTTCTCAATAGACGTTTCCATATTGTTTTAGACAGAAAACAGTATTTTAAATACTTTTCTTTAACATTTTATAGTGCCAACAAAACAGACAACAACAAAACAACATCAATATACAGTTTTGTCTCCTCCATCAGGATGGTGCCACTCTCCAGAGCACACAAGTCCTAATAAATCCTGAGATGTCTTTTCTCTCTACATTATTTCATTTTATACTTAAACGTCAACAAAAGAATACTAATCTCAAGTACATCCAAATTAACAATCCTAAGGATATTAGTGCAGCGATAGGAAATCAATCATGATCTAAATCGTTAGAATATAAAAGCAAATTCAGGAAAACAAACCTTCTTAAAGTACAGAGGTGCCTGCTTCGCAATTTCGCGGGGCAAAGGAATACAATCTACCAAACAATGGCGCCGTTGCTGTGCCAATCCCATTACAGTTTCAAGGAACACTAAATCCTTCTCTTGCTTTGCAAACATCATTATAAGGCATTTTTTGAAGTTGCGAATTTCATCCCAAACATTGTTATCAACAGTTCTAGTGGAGGATTCATGCTGTTTAGACCAAACGCTAAGAGTTAGTACAATCATAAGGATATTTTCAAAAAAAAAATGGTGGTTAAATATCCATCTATTCATGGAATTACAATTCAAACTTCATTTATCTAGAATTTTGACATGAAACTTTAAACAATAGGGGGTTGCTAGAACTTAAGAAAGAGAAAAATGTCAAATCTACATTCTTCAATATCATTTTGAAGTCACATTTCGGCATATGTATTTTATAGAATGGCTTAAAACTTTCAATTGTCATAAAAGCACTTCAAAAGGAGGAACACACACATATTTTCTATTCTGGAATAAAAAAAAGGCTTCATTTATATTCAAAAATCTGGAAGATATATAAAAAACAATCTTCAATCTACACAGAAATCCATGCATTCATGCTTCCACCAAATGATTTCGTTGTTATGGTTGTTGCGTGATGACTTAACTACATCTCAGACTGCTTTTATCAAAAAAAATGCGATGTCAGAATGTGAAACAAGCTGTGGTTTTACTGTTGACAACAAAAGCAGAAGAGATGAGCATACAATAAATCTTCAAAGAATAAAAGCCCACCTGCATAGGTAAAATGCAACAGTGACCTGGAACAATAGGCTGCAATTGTGGTAATGATAAATAGGTAAAGTTGGCAATTGCCACAACAAGATGCATTGGCCTTGCTGGATTCTCAAAGCAAAATTGGCAGCGCTCTTGCTGAGTCAAAATGCGCTTTCCAAGATTGCTTCTCTCAGCTGACTTATGATCATCACCCCGTAATTTCTTCCGAGTCTTTCTACTTGGACCCTCTTCATAGTCGTATTCATCATCTGCCCTACCGGATATGCTATACTGTTGGTTCCTTACTATCTTTTGAGCTAGGTGCATGTCGGCATCCTCATCTTTCTTCTTTTGACGAAGAGATATATCATGCATGAAATGCCTGTAAAATTTAATTCAAAACAAATTTTAATTCACTGAAGAATGTCTACTCGTTCCAAATAATCATAAAAGATGGATGGATGGACAGTTAAGTAAAAACAAAATCCAAAGAAAACACAGATATAACAGGACTGAGTTGTCTAAAGAAACCCATTGACCAAGTATGTTTGATAATACCTATTCCTTTTTTATAACCAGTAGATTCATAAGAGCAAAGTTGCATATTAATTTTGTGCACACAACAGACCCAAAAAAAAAATTGATTGCGAATTTACCTGCTTGAGGTTCCCGCATTTCGTACTCTGATTGATTCTTCACCAGCACCAGCTTTCACTTTGATGTTGTCGGCTTCTTTCTGATTTGGAGGAAAAACAAAGTTAATCATGATGTGAAAACTTAGGCCTTATGTGGGTATACCAAGTATATTGACCATCTTTCAACACATCAACTTTCCCATGACTTCAGTTTTATCCATATAAATGCAAAACACTTAGATCCAAACCCACACCCCTTCACAAAAAAGGGAAAAAGAGAAAGAAACACAACAACAAACAGAGATGGAAAAATGAGACAGAAGAAGAAATCACACATATGACAGCATGTAAGTGGGATGCAAAAAGTAAGGTCATGAATATGCTCCTAAAGAAACAAGAGTGCAAATTATTTGTTCATTTTAATAGCATTTTAGCCATATGAGAATAGAATGGATTGTTGCATTTCACTGAAAAAATCTATAACATAAAATTACTTTCACTATCCTTTTCTCCCAAGGAAAAGGGAAGTATTGAAGTATCAAAAAACATTGAGCAAGCAAACCCTTAGGTAAAACTCCCACTACTTCCTTCTCACAAGTGTCTAATAAACATGTAAAAAAGTTAGTGGCCAAATCGATTATAAACACTCTACTACCAAAATAACAGCAATAAGTGCAGCAAGATAACATCATATAAAGAAAACAAAATTCTACACACATAAATATAGGTAAGATTGAATATACATTTACACGTACATTGTATGGACAAAACCCNGATAACATCATATAAAGAAAACAAAATTCTACATGCATAAATATAGGTAAGATTGAATATACATTTACACGTACATTGTATGGACAAAACCCAACATGACATTCCAGCTTCCTGAAATTCCAAACCCACATGAAGGGCCTACACTCCACACACTTCACTGGAGACACTCCTAGGATACCATAGGAACTACTGCTCAATGGTGGGAACAACACCTGCAGAACCTACAACCTAGCCTTCTAGTTCACCCACATAATATATAGTATACAGCTTAAAGGATGCACACACACACTGAAGAGAAAAAACATTAAAAAAAAATCACTGATGGTCCACAGGAGGACCAGCTTTAATATTTTCTCTATACATTCTTCACTAATAATCTTGGAATCCATTATTGGAACATTAATAACTGATAAGTAACTTGATAGTAAAAAGTTCTCCATAAGAAGAAGAGAAANCATTTTCTCTATACATTCTTCGCTAATAATCTTGGAATCCATTATTGGAGCATTAATAACTGATAAGTAACTTGATAGTAAAAAGTTCTCCATAAGAAGAAGAGAAAAGAAATAGATGTAAAATGATTGTTTTGTTCCTTACCAATAGTTTCTCCGCTTCTTCATGCTTTCCTTTCATGCGCAGTTGTAAAACCTTTGCTGCCAACTGGTTTGCACTCAATGCTGGTTTAACAACTGCACCATCTTCACTAAGCTTTTCTGACTCTAATGAAACCAATTCTGACTTCACATCTCTATCATAGTTTGTAAATGAAGAACCAACAGATGCATCAGAATCATTAGTATGCTGATGCATGACTTCCCGCATGAAGCTTCCATCATTGGCAAACTTATTTAAGCTGGACAGTGCAGAAGAGATAAGGCCAGCATCTTTAGTTGACATACTTTGACCTTTGCGCTTCCCCCAGGTCAAAGACTCGTCAAGTTTGGGCACTCGCATTTTAGGATGCCGAAGGGGAAAATCCAGCGGTTGTTCTTGGTCAGTGCTCTGCTATTAACAAGTGAAATGTGTAACCAACGTGCTAATATTTATCTTTCCAATAAACTCTTAAAAAAAAATGAGAAATTACTCCAACCACAGTTCAAGATTAGATAGATCTCAGAATAATGGAAACTCAACATCTGAACTAATCACCCCTAAAATTCATGATGCTCGTTAAGAGACAAACTAATTCATGTATTTCACAACATGAATCCAAAGATTTTAAAGAAACAGCTAGCGCTACGGGCCACATACCTTCTCAGAAGCCATTTCATTTTGATTGGCATTAATTGTTTGTCCGTCTGTTAGCCCCCTCCTCCTATTTTTTATGGCATGCAGATGAGCATGAGATGGGGCAGCTCTATGAGATGCCACAGGAACAGCCAGTTGACTTAGAGAACCCCACCGCTCTTCCACCACCTGTTATGTTTTAGTACATCACACGAAATCAATAAAAGCCAAAGTAATGGAAACATAATGAGGAAGTTATGACAACATACATCCCCAAGACGCCGTCCTTCACGGGCTGCTTGCTCTTGAGAACGTTTCAAAGCCTTTAGTCTCCAGCTAGCACCTCCATCCCCAACAACAGAAGAAGACAAAAGTTGTGTCCCTACGGCCTTTGTCTCAGCTGATTCTTCGGGATAACCACTGCCATTATCCTTCAGATATGGATTTAACTCTCTTGGATTCTCTTTCTTAATCTAAGGACAAAATAAACAATATTTAGTGCTGACATTTCTATCGTGTCCTACATAAATAAAGTGATGCAAACTGTATCAAGCATCAAACAAAGAGTCACCTCTTCTAGCATGCAAATTATGAAACTAAAATTCTCTGCACTCAATAAGGTAAGCTAAGTCAGAAATTACCATTGCGTCCTACATAAGTAAAGTGATACAAACCATGTGAATTTCACAAATTATCCTAAAGATAATAGTTTGGAGCTTCAAGCATCTAATCAGAGTTGCCTCTTGTACTAGGCATATTAAGAAACGACAATTTCTACGAACTATTTCACTTGAAAGTACATCCACTGAATAAATTACACTTGCAACATAATACACATGCCAAAAGAGAGATTACAGCCACAGGAACAAAATCAAAAGAATACTTTTCATTCACAAATGTATATAAGAATACAACAAATGTATATTGAATATTTTCTTCTGAGCGATAGCCTATGCCATGCAAAATTCCATTTACTGCCAAACCCTATGTTGGGGAGAATCAAAGGATTTAAATTGTTTCTGAACATCGAAAAATAATGCTCAATTAGAAAGGACAGGCACATTCACTGCAGCTCTGCAAAACATACAATGCAATGATACAATGCCTGGAACATAACACCTAAAATTCAACTTTAGTCGAATTAGCCCTCAACTGTATATTACATGGAAACAGTCAATAAACAACAAATAACTTGCAAGTTGCATGTTTGCAAAACATCGCACATCCACAACATCTACAATGACACACATTAACAAAACACCATAACAGAAAATACACACAAAGGAGAAAGGAGGAGAAAAAGATGCAAGACTTTACAAGGAGAGAAGGCATGTTCACTGCTGGAACCTGAGATATCTGCTATAGATTTCCACTATCTCTAACTTTGTCGCTAATTGGATTAAAAAATCTCGTATGACATACGAGTTGGAGGAGAATCAACCAATCTTGTGACTCTGTATTTTGAAGGATGGTCCCAAAAATTTTTTTGAAAAAATGAGCTTGAACACATATGGCACTAAGTCATTTATGCAAATGTATTCTCGATTTATTTGCGTTAAACCATACAGGACAAATACCCAAACTATAATGTAGCCAATGGCGTATTGATGGCGCGCAACCATTGGTTGGTTGGACCAATACAATCGACTTTGGAAACCTAGGAGAAAGACTAGAATTTTTTGGTCCAAAGAGAAGTGTAATTGATAGTTTTATTATTATTATTTAATTTATAAGTATTTGTTTGACTAGAAGTATTAATTAGAGTTTAACAAGGAAATTATTAGAGTTTTAGTAGGATAGGGATTTGAGAGTTTGATTATGAAACTCTTTTACAATTTTAGTAGGAGAATAGTTTTTATTTTAGTAAGGAACTTGACCTATAAATAATGGTGTATCCCAACTATTTTTATTAGAAAGAGAGTGAAATANGGATTTGAGAGTTTGATTATGAAACTCTTTTAAAATTTTAGTAGGAGAATAGTTCTTATTTTAGTAAGGAACTTGACCTATAAATAATGGTGTATCCCAACTATTTTTATTAGAAAGAGAGTGAAATAATAAAAAGTGATTCTCCGTGGAGAATTTGTGTTTCTCTTCACTGATTCCTCGCGAGGATGAGGTAAACCCCTACCACACCCTCTTCTTTCTTCTTCTCTTTCTACTCTGTGATTTCTAGGCATTCTCGTCCTACATCACGTATGCATGTCCATCTCTTGCAGGAATCCAAAAGATGACGAGGAAGAGAAGTTTAACTTCATATCTCAAAGATAACAATAGTGTTTTGTCAATGGTAAGCTACAATGGCTTCACATATAACAAGGCGGACTAAAATTCATGCCTTNTTAGGCATTCTCGTCCTACATCACGTATGCATGTCCATCTCTTGCAGGAATCCAAAAGATGAAGAGGAAGAGAAGTTTAACTTCATATCTCAAAGATAACAATAGTGTTTTCTCAATGGTAAGCTACAATGGCTTCACATATAACAAGGCGGACTAAAATTCATGCCTTCATTGACACAAATGTGGATCATATCCTAAATCATCTTATACAGTTGCTTTAAAAACTCTTGCTGGAAAAACAAGGAAAAAAATGANTTCATTGACACAAATGTGGATCATATCCTAAATCATCTTATACAGTTGCTTTAAAAACTCTTGCTGGAAAAACAAGGAAAAAAATGAAAAATAAATTTGAAATAGAAAATATATGAAACCTATCGCACAAAAAGACAAAGGAAAAGTGTCTAGGTAATACAACAAAAAACATACTCATATTAAGTTACATTTCACTGATTATATGAAGAAAGAGCATACCTCCTCTGCCTGTGTTTTCTCTGGCTGATGATTAGGAGAAGTTGTGATTTTCTCAGTAGGACGGAACATCCACTCCAGACCCATTTCCTTCCTCACAATATTTATGGAATCCAATCCTCCACCATTTTCTAACATAAATGGCAAAACAAAAATTTTCCAATCAAGACATAAAATATTAACTATCAAAATAAAATAACAGCAGCAATACTTACCATGCAAATCCTCTTCCACGTCATTCTTCTCACCATCTCTTTCCTTATCCTTCTNTAACTATCAAAATAAAATAACAGCAGCAATACTTACCATGCAAATCCTCTTCCACGTCATTCTTCTCACCATCTCTTTCCTTATCCTTCTTCTCTTTTTTCTTGCCCCTTCGCTTCTTTTTATCTCGGTCAGAATCGCTCCCACTTTCACTTTCAGATGAATTTGACGACAACTCATCATCAGAAGTGTACCACTTATTTTTCCTTCTAGACCCCTTCTTTATTTTCTCTAGTTCATCATCCGAACTATGACAGCGAGAACTCTTCTTTTTTCTTCTATCTTTTCTCTTCTTACTACCAGATTTCTTTCTCTCTCTGCTACTATCATTTACATTTTTTTCTTGTGCCTGAAACAAATCAAAATCAGACTTTCGTGTAAGTGGGTAAGAAATAAATTTGCACATGGAGTAAGCTCATCAAAATAAACTAAATTATGAAGTTTACCTTGTCAATTTGATCTCGGGGTATGAATTTCAACCCTGAAAGCATCTTTCTATTGGATCACCGTATCAACGTTGTTGTAACTTGTATTCCAATGCTTGATTCAAAAATTTCACACTATCCTCAACATT